TTGTTATATATATTTATATTACAATTTATTGATTTATTTTGAATTTAATTTTTTAATTGACGGCCAATAAAATTATCAAAACTGTTGTTAAACACTAAATGCGTTAAATTTATATCCGATAATCACTTAGAACTGATCCAATCGCTGTCGTGACAGTGATTCTTAATCTTTTCATATTTAGTCTCTTTCGTTAAACCAATCAATTTCTCTGTAATTAGTTTTCCGATAATGTATTCCTGAAAACAAATTATCATAACTTTTAATAATTGGAAAAAACAATGAATTCAATTATAAAACCTCTAGAAATAGGGCCGAAAAAAAGTGAGCGACAGTTAGTGACATCAAAATACCCCTAAACTTATAGGTAAAGTCTTTCGTCTCTATCTGTTCGTTGGAAAAGAGAAATGATATGACATTTGGTTTTATTGTTAAACAATTACTTCAAAGAACTCTGCGATCCAATTGGTAGGTCTGTCCGGCGCTACACTTATCCATACCGTTAATATTATAGTCACAATGAGAGCCCCCGTAAACCATTCTATCAAATAAATTACAATTAATTGTTGTGAATTAATAGTGAATTATTACTATTAGTGTAAAACGGCTTTCTATAGGGACGACCCTTTGAGAAGACAATCGCTAGTGTTATGTATTGAAAGACTTGAACGATAAAAACGGCATAATTGATATGCGATTGATAATCGATGACCTCATGAGGAATGTGGATGCGATACCACGATTGTTGCTTCAGTAGTAAAATTGCTATCACCTGAAATATAAGCACAAGAAGCAGATGGGATATGATTGATGTCAATTGAGAGAGACTGATAAGACTGGTCGGCGGCTTTCGGGGTGACAGGTGCTCATAGGCTGGCGTTCGGCTAACTATTATAGCGGATAACAGTTTGTGTTATTCAATGTGGAGATTAATTGCTTTTTTGAAACTTACATAGAATTACATAAAGAGATATAATACACATGTCTTGGTATAAGTTCTGGATATCTGTTATATTGGACTCGAACTGAAATTTATGTTTTAATCACATTATTAAATGTTTTTAACAATAAGTTTTTGTAATATTTGTTACCCAATAAAGGATAAGAACAGCGATGAAAGACGTGATGTTATAACAGGCCATATATTTGATTACACCAAACACGGAGACCAACGCAGCCCTGCCTTCCCGTAACAATAAGTTTTTGTAATATTTGTTACCCAATAAAGGATAAGAACAGCGATGAAAGACGTGATGTTATAACAGGCCATATATTTGATTACACCAAACACGGAGACCAACGCAGCCCTGCCTTCCCGTAACAAAAGCGTAACACAAGATATATTGGGAATCTTGGAAGTGAAAGGCGAGGCCACAGAAGCCTCGGTTTCCGTTAAACTAATGCCACAATTGGACGCTTTAAGAGCTCCGACATCATTAGCGCCGTCGCCTTCAATAATAACCGCACATTTGTTAACAAACTTTCACTTACTTTAAGATTACAACAAGAATTACCTGTCTTTGGGGCAAAAAAGAAAAAATATTTTAATATAACTAAAACAATATAACACTTATTTATGATTGCCTACCATTGAGACGATGTATCCATATTTCTGTAGGCATTCGATGAGCTGTTGTTTGTTTTCGGGCGACATTCTGGCGAAGACAGCGCCGCAAACAATTAGTTTTGGCAAAAGGTCTGAATAGTATTCCTGTATTATCTTAAATGTCTGTCCCGTTAGAGCCAAACCCGACTTCTTCTCAATGTCTAAATTAATACTTTTTGACACATCTTTTGGCGATTCGTTTATTTCGTGAATAGTTTTTCTGTATTTGCACTCAAGTTTAGGCACCCCTTCGCTGTCTGTATAGCTATCTATTATAATAATTGAATCGTTTTTCCCGATTAAATGACATTCTTGTGCCACCGATAGGGCTGTCATTAAATTATCTCCAGTTGCCATAAGTGTCCTTATATTAGCTTTATTTAAAGTGTCGATAGTTTCTACGGTTTTATCCTTTAGATTGTTTTTCATGACAACAAATCCCAAGAAAATGAGATCGACTTCAAATTCTTCGCGTTGAGCCCTTTGGACACTCTTGTAATTCATGCCTTCCAGTGGTCTATAGGCCAGACCTAAGACACGAAAACTTTTTTCCGTATAAAAAGTCAATCGGCGGTCAAAGTCTTTGGGAATAGTATTTGGGTCGCAAAGTGTGGCCACAACTTCGGGAGCGCCCTTTAAACACAGGAATCATTATAAAATCAATTATTTTTAAAATCAGTCATCAAAAAATGTTTGTCTTTCAATACCTTAACGTAGACCTCAAAGGAGTGTTCGCCCAAAACTCTGGTAATGACACACATTCGGCTCAAATTGGACGAGAAGGGGAACTGACGTAAAATACCGACCTCTGGCCCCACTTTCCTCGAATCGATCGATGGCTTCACAATAGTCGGCGCCAATAAATCAAATTTGTTTGAGTCATTCACTTCTGGCTCTTCTAACGTCCATTTCGTCGACTCAAACATTATTATATCCAACGGATCGCCGATTATATTGGAGTCCAATATTGTCAACGAATGACAACTCGCTAAACATTTCAATAGTGGAGACACTTCTTGTTCGTCTACTCGAGTAATTGGTTCCGAGAAATGTTTGTTCGTTAGGTTTGTGGGCAACATTTCGGCCAAACTGAGCTCATCTTCGGTAAGTGTTCCGGTTTTGTCGAAACAAATACAGTCCACACAACCGGACATATTGATCGATTTGGGAGACATGCAGTATATTTGGGCAGCTCTTAGTCTCTGGTCCACAAAGAGATTGGCGACCGTCAGAGCGGCCGGGAGTTCGGGCGGAACCGCTGTAAGGGATGCGAAAAATTGATCAAATATAAAGTTATTTATAAATTATAACTTCTAATCATCACAAATAAAACGGGGGTCTATAAGAGTTTAGAGATTGAAGCCTCACATTTTTAGGCCCTATAAATTGACTTGATTAAAAAGTTATCATAATAAAATTACATAAAATACTTGTCTGCATGCACTGAACTAAATTAATTAAAAAATAATCTAAAACTTAAGGCTAAACTGTTAGACCGAAACAATAGTATAAATTATAGAATATTTAAGATACGAACCAATTGTGATGAGATCGAGGGCTTTGATAAAGATATCTCCGACGGCGTCCTTGCGCTTGATTTTAATAACAAAAGTGTATATAAAGCCAGAAATTGCGATACAAAGCATAATATAAACGAATTGAATGACATGTCGATTGAATTTAAAGTCCACAGGTTTGGGGAACAAAATGGACCTGATCAATTCGCCTTTGGCCGTCTGGAAACTGGTCCGTATGACCACTGCTTTCACTTTCTCGAGTCCGTAATATCGGGTTTGAATGACTTTAGTTCCCGAGA